CAACCTCAAGGAACTGGTATGAGCAACGCGCAATAATGTCAGTTGTGATTGTGCTCCTACAGCGCCTTTCGTCCCAAAGAGCTGTATAATTATCAATAAAGCAGGCCTTATGGTGCCCCTTTGACATAGGTTAATTTTGTCAGACCTGTTTTATAAGAAATTGATAGGAACAAAGGGGAAATTACTTGTCCATGCAAAAAGTAATGAAGAAGATAAAGCGTCTGAGGTATTGTAACCTCCAAACCCTGACTCCAAAACTACCAGGCTGTTACACCCCTGGGCAGAAGTGCACTGTATGCCACGCTTGGGAGGATTCTACCGACTTTTGCAAGTCAGTTGTTAATGATATCATCTAGTGGAAATGGTGTATTAAGATCCACCCATTAACATATTTCTTTTATTGGCTTTATACATCTTTTCTTTAAAAAAGCAAAATCCAAACTTACTTGTAAATGTTCCTAGTAACGCTTCAGTTGTTTATAGCAAGAACTGGAAGTAAAAAAAAAAAAAAGAAAAAAAAAAAGAGGTGTCAGAGAAGTTTTGACTTTCGCTTCCAGGCAATAGACAGTAGAAATGTCAGAGCCTATACAACCTTGCTGTGTCAGGAATACTCACAGTCACTAAAAGGCAGAAGAACTGAATACCATTAGAAGGCAAAAACTAAATTTTAAAAAGACACAAAACATCTAATAACTTGTGTGAAATGGGGCATCTCTTGAGATTCTGGCCTGGAGCCTTCCTGGGGTCTGAGTGAAAAAAAATCGCATCTGGTTAATCTTAGCAAGTTTCTGTGGTGGGGCTGATTTGACTGAAGGGAGGATGAAACTGCTGGTAAAAAGGGGGCTGGTGTTCATTGAGTTACACTGACGTTTAGGATGGCTCAGCTGCTATTCAGTACAGAAACAAAGATTTTTATTTATTTGGGTTTTTTGATTGTTGGTTGTTTTTTTTTTTTTTTTTTTAAAGCAAATTCTTCCTACTGCTGTGATCATTCTGGCTCTGAGCATTTTCCTTCCTTGGCAGGAAACACTTCAATCTTTCATGATCTGAAAGTTCCTTATCTTCTCTTGACATGCTTGAGAATTCAAGGGTTCTGTCATACCATCCCTTCCTCTCCTGAAAGTGATGGCATGTGGCAGCTAACTTACTCTGAGAACAAGCCCAGAGTTAAGTCTCCATTAGTAAATACTCACTTTGCACCTAGTGCCAAAATAACGGCTTATTATGATCCCCCGTGGGATAGCTGCTGCTCAGGAGCTCTGTCCCTTGTTTGTGGAGGTTGCAACTTTTTCAGATGAGGTTATAAAGCAACTTGGTTATGTGCTGTCCTTGGAAATGGATGCACATCCACAATATTAATAACTATAATTAAGAGCCGTTTCATAAAGGCATAGCTCAGCAAAAAAAAAGGGGTTTTTTTTGAGGAATGAGGTTGCATCAGGATTTGTCCAAATCACTTCTTTAACAGCCAAAGTATGTGTTTGACCATCTGCATTTTTCAAATAGGGAAAAACAAACATAAATCAACTGTGATTAATTAAGGAAAAATACCAAAATTCTTACTCAAACATGAGGATTGTTCTGATTGCCAATAGAAAGTAGTTTGTAAAAAGAGCTTAAAGCTAAGGTTTAGTTAGCCTTTTTAAAATTTTGCTAATGGCTCACTGATGTTAGAATAATAATGTAACTAAAATGAATGTAATTACATCTTTGGTTTTTGGAAAACAAGTAACAATACGGCTATGGGTTCATAGATGTTCAGTAGGTTCATCTGATCACATAGGAGATTAGGTCACAAACTAAACAAAAGACCTAATGCTACAAAATTGTAACAAAATTATGAGTTCAAAAATGCAAATGAACATTGAGGACCAAGATAATTGGCCTTGTAGCTTCTCCTTATAAAAACAAAGGTTTATTTGCCTTTTAAATGGGCCAGTAAAATTGAATTGGCACCCTACAGTGCATGAAGAATAGATAGTCAAGAAAAATAAGCTGTAAGAAATAAGCAGAGGAGCTTAAGAGATGAAGATTTTTCAAAACTAATAGAAGACAGTCTGTAAAAGTGTTAAATCTTAAAGATCTGCAGTGAATACAAACCTGAATCAGGGGAAATAAGACTGGGCAGGGAGGTGCACTTGTTAGAAGTTATTGTTGGTGATCCTCCAGAATTTTTAGGAAAAAAGTTGCAAATATCTGAAAGGCCAAATCAGAAGCTCTCACCTGCACTGGGATGCTCCATGCAAGCAGCAGCTCCATGTTGGCTATTAGGTATTGTGGGGAGAAGGTCCTGCTTATGGTCAGGCTGTTCACAGACTCTGATTTTTTTTCTCAGGTTACTCATAAATTGAGAATGGGCTCTTTGCATAAATGAGCACAATCTGCTATGAAAATAGATACACCTTAATTCAGTGTTTTAAAATAGTCATGCAGAACAGAATTTTGTCCAAAGGACAAAGACCTTGAACCATTTTTAAACTGTTGACCACAGTGCCTAGGTGCCATATGTCTAAAAACAGAGAGCACAAACTGGACCAGTTCTCAGCTGGTTCCCAGCACAATGCAGAGGAACTGGTCCATGCTGGAGCCAGCCGCTCCGTTGGTTACCTTTAGCACTGCACCTATTCTCTCCACTGACTCTATGGGATGTAGGAACAAGCAGTCCTAATAAGAGCTAATCTGTATTCTTCATTATAGTCCTACACTTAGATAGCATGGTAGGCTTTCTGAGCCCTCTCGTGACTCTTTTTTCAGATACTGTGTCCCTGTAAATCTGAGAGATTTCAGTGGAGTCACAGTTCAAAAGTATTCCTGAGCCTTATACCTGATAAGAAATAACGGGTGAACCCCCGATCATTTGAAATACTCTGGGTTTTTGGGGTCAGGAGACATTTGAGAATATGTTTTGTTTGCATTGCAAGAAGGGATGTTTCCTGGAATACTTGCTCTTCTCTGCTTTCTCTGCAGTACAAAATCTACATAAAAAAACCTAGTAAACTAGGCCATTAATAAATATGTGAAAGAAGCCTGATCTGTGAGGTACTGACTCAGTGTATGTAAGGACACCCAGCTCTGCTAGCCCCGCCTCAGTGATTATTCCCATGGAATTAGAGGGCTTACACGCCATTGAAATGATTTGGAGACTGCCAGACTTTCTAATGTAGTCTTTATTTTTCCCTTCTTTTCACCTGTAAGTTAGTGCCTTTTATTTGTTACTTCAGCAGATAATTTTTATGGTAGCTTTTCTACTTTATATCCTGCTGGTATATAGTTTAACAAAATGCCTTTTGAAACAGTGTATTTAATTCCTCAGTCATGCCTCTGGGAATAAATGCTCGCTGTATTATCACTTCTTTTATATCTTTTCTTTATTGTGGTTGAGAACTTCTGCAAACTTTTCTTTCAGAAATCACTACTTCTTTTTCCCTCTCTGTGCCTCATGTGCATCTCTTTTCTGTCTACACCAGCTGTTATTTGCTGCTGGTATCAACGACTGGTCATGTCCTGTTACAGTGGCTTAAACACTTAAAGAAATTCCTTAATAGCATTTCTTTTTTTTTTGCATCTGGATCTGCAGAAAGAAAATCAAATTTTCACGCCTGACTACCTATTTGATGCTGTGTAAATGAGCTGATATTGTGGAGAATCCTTTTTAAAATTACTTTAACAGTCTTTAGTGATTCTGAATGGTAGCATTTATGGTAGGAAATGTTTCATGATGGTACTTTGGGAAGTAACGATGCTGTATATTTCCGTGTAGAAGTCATGTCGTCTTTACCGGTAATTACTTCCCCTTGCTTTTTGCAAAGTTAAATATGCAGCGTTTTGGCAAAAGTGCTTAATGGGGCTAGTTGGAAATTGTTCTTGACAAGCGAAATTGTTAATGTTGAATGAACATTTTTCTGGGAAACTTATTTTCATTACAAGTGGGACTTGCTCATCTCAGTCCCGAAATGTTTTGATTTAGAAGTGCTGCTATGCTGTAGTGTGTTTCAGTTGTACAATCTTTATTATGGACCAGAGTCCCAGCATCTCATGTATCAGGTTCCCTCGCTATCACCGATGCAGTCTCCCTCCATGGAAAGAACCCAGGGTCATGAGAAGTTTGCTCTGTTCCTACAGAGTTGAACAAAGAAACTCTTTCCCTGCAACTCCCA